CCTACCCTCCAAACCCTGCACCTGTCCTTGTTTTTGTATGGGTAAATAACGAGCCTTCCTTTCCCCGGGCGGGGGGGGGGGCGGGGGTGCTCCCGGGGATGGAGGCAGGCCGGCTCGCTGAAAGCAGAGATTGGTTCGCTCAAGTCCCACCTCCAAACGCAGTCTGCGGCGCCGGGACCTCACACAAGCCCTTGGGACACAGCATCTCATTAACTCTCCCAGTGACCTAAGAACACGGCACCCTCGCTTTTCAGGGGAAAAAACTCAGCGGAGAGGGTGAGTAACCTGACAAGACTGCAAAGCCAGGGGCCCGAATCCAAGCCCAAGGTCTGTACTTTTACAAAAACAAACCAAACCAAAGAAAAGCTTTGGGGAGAAAGGGGTTGTTCCCAGCTGAGAGCGGAAAAGGCTCTCAGAGGAGGGAGGTGGGTCTAAACTTGGGGCTTCCAGGCAAATCACCCACTCAAAGGCAGGGCCGTGCATGCAACTCCAGCTCCCCAAAACCTCACTGCACAGCCCAGCTCCTGTCGCCCAGAGCCCAAGGCCTTGGAGACACTGGCAGTCAGTGATCCAGGCTGTTAAAAACCCTTTGCAACGATTTAATGACCCACTGGAACTAACCCTTATAGTTTGTCAGCCACTGACTTGTCTCTGTGCCCCCCAAGAAGCAGAGAATTTGGCCTCTCAGGTACAAAGCTGAGCCACGGGTGGTGGTGTGGGCATTGGTTGCTCAAAGTCAGCTGGGGTGGCAGATTGCGTTTTCTCAGAATGGTCCAGGCAATATTTTCCATTCCACACGTCTTCTAGAACCTCCTACTCCAATCAAGACTCTTCCCATCTTACTCCTCCTGCGTGAAGCCGGGCCAGCTGTGGGACTGCTCTGGCCAGTAGCATGCCTCTGCAGGATGCTCTGTGGCTTCCAAGGCTGGGTCAGAAGGAGGACCCCAGCCACCCGGTGAGGAAGCCCAAGCCACTCGGGAGGCCACGTGTTTCCTTGGAGCCCATCCCCTGTGGGATGGTATGTGGAGCCAGGAGCTGAACTCTCTCCATGTAGTCCTTGCTGAGTGGCAGATTCATGAGCAAAACAGATATGTCACTATATTAAGCCACTGTGTTTTGGGTGTAACTTGTTATGCAGCCACAGTCACTGTAACAGTAAGTGCATAATAATTCCTGCTTGAGAGATGAATAAATGTATACAGAGAGAGTCTTTTCAAAGGCCTCCAGAGGCCAGTATATATTTTTAACTTTTTTCCTTTTTTTGGTTAGTCTTCACTGGAGGATATTTTTCCATCGATTTCAGAGAGTGGAAGGGAGGGAGGAGGAGAAGAGAGGAGAGAGAGAGAGAGAGAGACATCAATTGGTTGCCTCCCAGGCACGTACCCATGACCACACCACCACCCGTGGCTCAGCTTTGGTTCTCGGGCTACGCTCTAACCACTGAGCAACCAGCCAGGGCTTTTAACTTTTTATTAAGAACATTTTCAAACCAAAGTAGAGAGAATAACACAATTATCCAGCATGTACCCATCACACGATTCAGTGATTACCAGCTCTTGACTGATCTTGTTTTTTTAACCCTTTAAAAAAATCTTTATTATTGAGAGTATTACAGATGCCCCCCCCCTTTCCCCTTATTGCCCCCTCCACCTGGTTCCCACCCCACCCCAGGCCTTCACCACTCTATTGTCTGTGTTCATAGGTAATGTATATATACATATAAGATCTTTGGTTAATCTCTTCCCAATCCCCTCCCCCCTGTTCTCTCTGGGACTCCGTGAACTATTCATCTGTGCAATCCATGCTGATGTGACAAATGAACACCCTGTCTGGTTATCCTGAGCTAACCTTCCTATTCTTGCCCTTTTTACTGAAAGGAATTATTGTTAATGTATTTATTTAATCCAGGAACTCTGAGCCAGACTTCTAAAGGAAAATACAGTCAGCATGAGGCACCTAGCATATGGGTCTGTAAAGTAAATGCTAATTAATAATAATCACTGCGCTGTGTTACCCAGCTGCATTGTTTTGCCTGATAATTCCCTCAAGGAGGCCTGGCCTTGGGGGCAGAGGATCCTATCAGGCCAGTGGTGTCTGGCACAGGGGCCTTGGCTGCCCAGGCACAGTGGCAGGACCAGATCTCACAAAGGCCTCAGGGCCTGCTATAAATAAATCACAGCTCAGTGCAAGCTAGGTCAATGCAGCCCTTTCAACCGGCTGCTCCACTCCAAGCACAATCAGGGCTTGGCTGTGCAAACACGAAGCCCCTCCAGTTCATCACTGTGGTTCTCAGATCCCTGACACTGGGTGGTGTCTGAAGTCCAGGGAGCAAGAAAGCGTCTCCCTCCATGGCAGCGACAGACAGAGCCAAGCCTTTCTGCATGGCTCACCCTGTGTTCCTGATGCAACTCTGCAGGGGAAGATTGTGGACTCTTTATCCCCAAACAGATGAAAAACCCTGCTGCCAAGCCATGAGTTAGGAGGATGCTAAATTGAGAGTATAGGAAATAAAGACCATAAATGGCGTGTAAAGATGGGCACCAGCTTATGACAAACACTCAGCCTTCTGGGTGATACATGCAGGTAACAGTGCAGCGTCAGCATCGGAAATTCCTTCGGAAACTGTAACATGGTTAGGAAAGGAATGGATATCTCACTTTTTCTGCCCATCTGGAGTCTTCTGGCAGAGTTTCTAGTTTTTCCTCACGAGCAGGGGGGTGGGGGGGGGGGCAGGGTGCTACAGAAGAGGCTTCTTCAGGCTGAGTAGAAGAAGCCTTTACTTCTGTGAAGGGGACACTTGGTGATTTCTAAACTTTGGAGCTTCCTTACATTTTCTTATTCAGATGGTTTGTGGAAACCTGGCTATTTTGCATCCTCACCAGACCAGCAGGGAAGGAATCTTCAAAGGTGGACAGGGTGAGGTCAGGCTCACGGGCAGAGTCTCAGCCCAAATTTGGAATCTAATTTGGATAATTCCTCCCTCCCTCCTTCATTAAAGGCATTTTTATCAAGCACCGATATGTGCTTTTCTAGGCATTGTAGGTTAAAGTGGACCAAACAGCGGGCGAGGGCGGCAGTGTACACGTATATCCAGCAACAGAAACGCGTTTCGCTGTGGGGGAGATCACGAGTGTGGATGATGCCCAGCTGCCGTCAAAACCTACCCGACTTCCGCAACCCTGGACTGGGCCCAGCGCGCGTTGGTAGGGACGCGCTCCCACCGTTGCCAGGGCTTGTGGCTGCGTGCGGAGTCTCGCGAGGATCTTCGATACTTCTCGCGAGACCGCCCAGCGGTTGCTGGGAGACAGCGCAGCCTCTGCGGAGTGTGAGCTTTTGTCTGCGGGTCGCGGCGGTCGCGGTGGTCGCTGCGGGTCCGGACGCCTGGAACCATGGTGAGGACGACGCGGAGCTGGCCCCGGGAGCCGGCCCTGCGCGCAGAGACCCCGAGCGATGCCCTACCTGGGGCGGAAGGCTCAGCCCGTCATAGCCTTGGGCTCTCCCAGGGGCCTGGGGCACACGTGTCCCCAAACAGGACAGTGGGGCGCAGGGGATAACCTAGGACCTCCAGTCTCCGGGTTGGAGAACCCAGGGCGCCAGGGCGGTTGCAGGTCCCTGTACAGCAAGGGGTCCTGGGCAGGATGTCCATCTTCATGGACGCCCAGGGCAGGGCCAGCGGTGCAGAACGGCTGGTTCCTCGGAGAGGCTGGGAGCAGTCAGACCTCATCTGTCTCTCTCATGTGACAGGGCCGTCCGCTGTCCCCACCGCCACCCCACCCCATAGAGGAGTTGTCAGTAGCGCAGTTCCCAGGCAGATGCACGGGGCAGGTAGCTGGTGGAGAGGAGACTCGGTGCGGAGCCGCTGCATTTGGCTGTAGCGGACTTCTTGGAGTAAAGGGATTAATTAACACTTTAGGAGGGAAGGTGTCAGTGGATGGGTGTTTGAATATCAACTGGATGAAGGCCACCAAAATACTTCTACTTATTACTAGCTTTAGGGATAGGATATTCTTTTTTTTTTTCTCTATGTTTATAAGACTTCCACATAATTTTTTTGTAATCAGAGAGATATAGACACAAAAAGTGTTACAGACACATATAGACACACAAAAGTGTGGGCCACAGACAGTGGAGAGAAGTGAGGGCAGAGGATAAGGACTTGGAAATTCAGTGTCTGCTCAGGAAGGGAGTGGGCCGGAAGGTTCTGTCATCTGTCAAAGCTGGTACAGGAGGCGTGACGGCTGAGCAGGTCCCGTGGTGAACCATGTAGGGCCCCCACGGTGGGTGGGTGCTGTCTGCTGTCTTCCCCAGACCAGGTTCTCTGAGGAGTTTCGTATTTGGAACAAAGACAGTCTCATATTATCATCCTGATCATTGCTATCGAGGCATTTCTGCCAACAAATATCGGAAGTTTCTTTCGTGTTTCTCTGTGGTGGTTACCAAACATGATAGCCAACGCGGTCACATCTGACCCTGGTATTGGGGTTCTCCCTTTTGAGGCCAAGTACAGTTTGCATCCACACCAAGGCAGTCTCTGCCGTGTATTAAGGAGTGAATTTGGTCCAGTTTCCTTCCCTGAATCTCTGAGGGGAAAAAAATGTTCTTTTCTGAAAAGGAAGATTTCTCCTTCTTGCTGCTCCAAAGGTGTCAGCAGAGAATGTGCGTGTGGTTAGGGTGGGAGCTTAGGGTGGAGTGACGTGCTGCAGGGGGTGGGCACCAGACCGTGAGCAGGAGAGGGAGGCTCCAGTCAGGTGCTCCTCACCCCTCCAAATGCCCAGGAGGGGATCTGAGCCAACCTGAGAGGGAAGCCATTACCCAAAGCCTCCCTCCCTTACCCAGCCTCTCTTTTAACCACAGGCGCCCAAAAAGAAAGGGAAGGGCAAAGGCACCCCAGTTGTGGACGGTCTTGCTCCGGAGGACATGACCAAGGAGCAGGTGAGCAGGCTGGCCCTGTGCATTGGTCCAGTCCTGGGTGGAGTGGGTGGGTGGGTGCTGTTCCGTCTCATCCCTCTGGCTGTTTGTCTGCATGAACCTCTGTCAGACCAGTGCACCCCTCATCCTGCCTTCTGCTCTGTGCTCGCCTCCCCCATTCTGGCTCCTGCAGTTCTGACAGCATATCCTTCCCCAGCTCCATCATCCCCGTCAGCGCCAAAGCTCTCAGGCACAGTATTGAAGAACTTTTTTATAGGATGGTAAGAATTTGGAAGCAAATGTTTGTTTCTGGTATAAAAGCCATTTTTCATTTTTTTTTGTATTCCCTTTCAGTTTTACCCCTTCATGCGTCTGATGCTACGGAGCTGTTTTCATAGTACATGCATTATAGTCTTCTTGTTTATTTACCATGAAACTTTAGCAATTATTGTGTCCACGTGTCCTTGCTGATGAAGGCAGGGGCTAGATAACAAACTGTGTGATTACAATTTTAATTAAAAGGCCCCTGGGAACTGCAGCACATGGCAAACCATGAGAGTAAACTGGTGCCCACTCCAGCCTCCGTGTTCTGACGACGGGACTGCCTGTGTGCATCTGCCACGGACCTGCGGGCTCTGTGTCAACTGGTGTTGCTGTCAGAGCCCTGACTGTCTTTGCATAGTTTTAAGATAAAAATAAATGCAAAGGAGACTAACAGTCCTATGAGCTGAAGCTGGATGTGGAGCCAGGGCCGTTGATGGTAAGAGGGACTGTGTTTACAGCCGGTCCTTAAATAACGTAGCGTTACAACGTTGATGAGACGCCAGGGGACTTAGCTCTTGTGTCACTGAGCCAGTGGTCACATTGGTCTCTTTACACGTCATTTGTCCTCACAGCTTCAGAACCCGTTGGTGACATTAAGTGAGAACTGTCCCTGCAGGGAAACCAGTGGAAGCAGAGGGTGGTGGGGCCAGTCTGTGTTCTGGAGAGAGCACTGGCTGCACACTGCATCGCCCCAGCGGTTGAGCTGTTTCTTACCCCCCGTGTACTTCCAGTCCCTGTGGAGATAGCCCTGGCCTGCGGTGGTGTGTCTGCAGTGGCATGGACACCTCGGCAGCGTCTGGTGCCAGGCCCAGGGTCCAGGGTCCAGGTGGCAATGAGAGCCAGGCAGCTGCAGACAGGCCCCTGAACAGCCACCTTTTGTGCGTCCAACTCCGGGGCTATTTTCTAATTTTTTAATATATACTTTTATTGATTTCGGAGAGGAAGGTGGAGGGACAGGAGAGAGAGAATCATCAATTGGCTGCCTCCTGCACGTCTGCAGTGGGATTGAGCCTGCAACCTGGGGCATGTACCTTGACCTGGAATCAAACTGACCTTCTGGTTCATTGGTCGACGCTCAACCACTGAGCCACACCTGCTGGGCTATTTTCTGATTTTTTTAAGAGAAGCTGGAAATGTGCATGTTTCTAAGAAATGTGTTTATTGAGTCATGGCAAGATCTAACCTGTGAGACAGTCACAGTAGGTGGGAGCCTTGTTATACTCTGAGTGGCACTGAAGGCCATGACATGGGGATGTTGTCTTCTGTGGAGGCCTGAGTCAGATGCACTGTTTTACCTCCTTTCAGCTCTTCAGGATTTTTAGAGGAGAGTGGCCCCTCCCTCTTGCTTGCCTTTCTCCTCCCATGTGTCCCTCGGGTGGGTGGGCCCCGCTGGGTCCTTCACAGTCTCTGCTCGGCCTGCAGGTGGAGGGGCACATCGGCCGCATCCGTGAGGAGCTGGACCGAGAGCGGGAGGAGCGCAACTACTTCCAGCTGGAGCGGGACAAGATCCACACCTTCTGGGAGATCACCCGGAGGCAGCTGGAGGAGAAGAAGGCTGAGCTGCGGAACAAGGACCGGGAGATGGAGGAGGCCGAGGAGCGGCACCAGGTGGAGATCAAGGTGAGTGGGGCGTCCGCCTGTCCCGCTGGGGTCACTGCTGCGATGTTGTTAGGGTGAGCGGCATTTCATCTCCTTGTTCTGGGGTTACAGCCCTTTGTTTGTGTCTTTCAGCATTTCATCTCCTTGTTCTGGGGTTACAGCCCTTTGTTTGTGTCTTTCACCCTGGGAACCTAAAGGTATTTTTTGTAAAATGTGTGTGCCTGCGGGCCGGTGAGCATGCATGTGCAGGTGTGTGTGTGTGTGTGTGTGTGTGTATGTGTGTGTGCAGGTGTGTGTGTGTGTGTGTGTGTGTGCGCGCCGGTAATCGAGTGGTCGTTCTCCCGCCCACAGGTCTACAAGCAGAAGGTGAAGCACCTGCTGTACGAGCATCAGAACAACCTGACGGAGATGAAGGCTGAGGGCACCGTGGCCATGAAGCTGGCCCAGAAGGAGCACCGCACGCAGGAGGGCACGCTGCGAAAGGACATGCGGGCACTGAAGGTGGAGCTCAAGGAGCAGGAGCTGGCCAACGAGGTGGTGGTGAAGAACCTGCGGCTGGTGGGTACACCCATGGGCAGCTGGTGTTGAACAGCAACTGGGAATTCACATGTTCTGTTTAAAAACTCCCGCATTTTGGCAATTAATTGAAATATTTTTTAAAAGCGTGCAGCTAGGCAGATCCACTTTGGTGTCAAGTACAGAATTCTGTCTCCGACTTGAGCAACAAATGGACATGAGGAAAACCAGTCAGGGTTCCTCTGCATGTGCTTCTGAGACCTGACACCCAGCTGCGCTCCCAGGCTGTCCGTCAGGTGCATTGGGACACACACAGTCATTGAGGTGTCCAGCACCCCAGGCCACAGGCACACGGCAGCTTGTCATACAAGCTGGGCTCATGGGCACCTGACTGCCTTTTGAGAGCTTTTGGTCAGTTCTGAGCGAGGATGGTGGGGGTGCCCGGAAGGTGCCAGGCCCCGTTCTGATCTCTGGGAGGACTGATAAAATGCCTTTCCACGTGTGGCACATGGTCTGCAAAGGAGAAACTACACACAACAGAGAAGGCAAAATCATGTGTCAGATCCGCACAGCACATCCCTTGGCTATAAGGAAGGACAGAGTGAGTGGGCAATGGGAATGAGAGTGGGTTGCATTTTCCTACATGGAGTTCTGGGAATGGCTCCCTGAGAAGGTGACATTTGGGTAAAGGCAGTAAGGTCTGATCCAGGCTGTGGGGACCAGGCCAGGAGAAGAGGTAGGGGATGAGCCGCATGAAGGCCAGAGGAGCAAGTAGGTCCTAGCTCATCGGCCTCGGAAACCACGGGGAGGCCGGGCGCGGGCCCTGGCTGAGCCGGGCCTGTGGGGATTTGGGCAGAGAGAGTGCATCTGACCTTGGTTTTCAGAGGCTCCTCCGGCGGCAGGTTGAGAAGACTTTGTCAGCACGTTTGTCTCCTGTGAAGGGAGCCAGGCTCCACTGGATCTGGAAAACACCGAAACGGCAGAGTTTGCAGCCAAGGCCGAGTGTGTGAAAGAGTTGGACCCCAAGAATGGCCCCAGCCGGTTTGTTTAAATGGTTAGAGTGTCGACCTGCAGACTGAAGGGTCAAGGGTTTGATTCTGGTTCAAGGGCATGTACCTCGGTTGTAGGCTCGATCCCCAGCCATGCTAGAGGCAACCAGTCAGTGTCTCTCTCATATCAATGTTTCTCTCTGTCTCTCCCGTCCCTTCCACTCTCTAAAAATCAATGGGGAAAAAATATCCTTGAGTGAGGATTAAATAAATACATAAATAAAAACGAATGGTCTGATCTCTCCTGACACAGGCTGGTTTCCAATGAATTCAGTGACGGGAGGCTGTCTGCCTACCCAAGGCCTGTATACAGATTAGTTATGTGGTCAGAGTTCCCTTTTGTGTAAAAATACTGCTATAAAAATAATTACCATTTTATATTCAGAATTGTGTACAATAGCCACCTGGGGGAGCCTGCAGGTCTGGACAGTGCGGCCATGGCTCCACCCGCAGGCAGGCCAGCAAGGGGCCGCCGGCTGCTGTCCGTCCTTAGAATCTCTGAGAACATTTTCTCAGGCTCAGAGCTGACTTTAGCCAAGTGAGTTTTGAAATGTGGAAGTTACCAAAACCACGTTGTTCTGGACGTGGTGTGTGCGCCGGGAGCGCGGTGTGTGCGCCGGGAGCGCCGGGACCCGCCAGAGCAGCAGAGGGTTTGCCGAGCGGCTTCTCTGTCTGTCCCCTTTGCAGAAACACACGGAGGAGATCACCAAGCTGCGCAACGACTTTGAGAGGCAAGTGCGTTGAGAGGCAAGTGCGAGGTCAGTGTCGTCTTCCGGCGGCGCCATCACAGCAGAGCCCGACTCCCCCCGGGCTCACCTCACAGGGACCTGCGAGGAGAGAGAATGCGCTCATTTTAAGGCTGACGGGCCTCTCAGCATCCCAGAACCGAGTTTTCTATGTCAGTTGGGGGAGGCTGTGGTCACCACCCACTTCCCCACTCCTGTCAGTAGTGGTGGCTCGGAGCAGGGTAGTCATTCAGTCTCGTGGGCACTGTTCTTAGTCTTTCCATGGCTCCTGGCCTGAGGCGGCCTGTAGTGTGAGTCACACAGCCCTGTGTTGTGAATGGATGGCTCACGGGTCATGGCTCGTGACCACGGGATGGGCTGAGGCGTAGCTATCGGGAGCCCCTGCAGGGGTGGAATCGCAGTGCCCGGAGGACAGCACGCGTGGTGTGTGCCTCACGCGCCCTCTGAGCTTCAGCAGGAAAACCCAGGGAAGCCCACCCTGTCCTGTGGCAGGTGAGCATGCGCAGCATTGGCACTGCTGGCTGCTCTCTGCTCAGCTGCTGTGTGTGCTGCTGCCTTTCAGAAATTGAGGCCAAGTATGACAAGAAGATGAAGATGCTTAGGGATGAGCTCGACCTGCGGAGAAAGACGGAGATCCACGAAGTGGAGGAGCGGAAGAACGGCCAGATCAGCACGCTGATGCAGCGGCACGAGGAGGCGTTCACAGACATGAAGAACTACTACAACGACATCACCCTCAACAACCTGGCCCTCATCAACTCCCTCAAGGTGCTGGGGCCGCGCGGGGCCACACGCCGCTCTTGGCCCCAGACGCACTCTCCCTTAGGAAACTCTTCCTGATAATGCCCTTCCCTGTCCTTGATTGAAACTCACAGGGAATGTAACCTCCCTATTCCTGTAGCTGAAAACAGGCTGTTGCCCTAATGTCGGGCAGGAGAACGAGTAGGGCAGTGTCTGTTCTGAGAGTAAAGGCTCAGGCAGGACTGTGGTCGGAGCCTAGCTTAGAGTCATGGGCAGGTGTCATTGCCACCCAGGTGCTGGCAGGGATGGGGTTTCCACAAAGCAGAATGCCCTTCATGGCGCACTGAACAAAGCGTGATCTCATGAAACCTCATTCCTAGAACATTCAGAGTAGGTGTGTGTTTGTACATAAAACAGGTCTCGTTGGCCTGTGTGCCCACAGCAGCAGGACTTGCCTGTGGCAGGTGAGCTCGCAGCCCTGGCACTGCCTGCTGAGCCCTCCTGCACACGACTGTGCCCACAGGAGCAGATGGAAGACATGCGGAAGAAGGAGGAGCACCTCGAGAAGGAGATGCTGGAGGTGTCTGCGCAGAACCGGCGCCTGGCGGACCCGCTGCAGAAGGCTCGGGAGGAGATGAGCGAGATGCAGAAGAAACTGGGCGACCACGAAAGGGACAAGCAGATCCTGGTTGTGAGTGTCATCGCCTTTACCTCCCCCTTGGCTCCTGGGCTCAGGAGAGAAGGGACATCCATGAGATGCCTCCTGGGGCCTGTGCAGGGCTTGGCCCTTAGGGCAGGAGGGCGTCTGAATCTCTATTTTCTGTGACTGGAGATGCGGGGGGGCGGGGAGGAGGAGGAGGGGGGATGTAGAGCTGGTGCCCATTACCGCCCTGGTGGGGATGAGCCACTTGTATCTTTGAGCCAGTTCTTCCTGGCGAGTATTCCTGGCCTTGCCATCTCCAGGAGCCTCCTTGTGTGCATGCCTGAATCCTGAGTGCCTTCTGTGCCCCACCCTCTTCTCTCTGCAGGGCACAAAGGCACGTTTGAAAGTTTTAGAGAAAGAGCTCAAGAGCCTGCAGTGGGAGCACGAGGTGCTGGAGCAGCGGTTTATCCAGGTGAGCAGCCAGCAGCCCAGCCAGGACCGGTTCCAGGAGGTCCTGTTGCTGCTCCTCACCCTACGCAGCCTTCGAGGAAGCCCGGGGCAGGTCTGGGGGAGGCCTGGGTCTCACACAGAGCAGATCCCTGGTGGGAGCAGTTTGCCCACCTGTCCCCTCGGCTCACTGCTGAAACACACAGAGGCAGCCTGGCCTCTCCAGCCAGCGTCTTTTTCCTCTACATCCATGAATCTAGTACCAGATTAGTATGTGCTCATTGGAAGGACGTCACGGAGCCCTGAGTCTCAGTAAGAAAAAGAGGGTTCCCCTGCTGCTCAGCACTGATCCTCACGAGTGGTAACAGCTTCCGAGTCTCCTCCCAGCTCCTCCTGTGTGTCCAGCGTGGGTGGGATTCCTGCCTTAGACACAGCACCTTCCATCTCGCAGGTCTGTCCTGCGGCTTCCAGATTGCACCTGCATAGCCGCTCATTCTGGTGTTGCCCGTGCCCCCCTGCCCCCCGCAAGTGCCTCCATATGCAGCTGGTGCCCCAAGGGACGCCCTTGCTCGTCCTCTAGTGTCAGCTCATCTTGTGCACCTGTGGGACCCTCCCTAGGAAAGTCAGTTCCTGGTGGTGGAAGGCTTGCATTCAGATTTCAGATAGAGTCTGCCCAGAGGGCTGTCCACAGGGGTGATCTCACCCAAAGTGCCCAAGGGGCCATTTCCTGCTGCATCAGCTTCCACTCTGCTGATGTATAATTGGCGGAGAATGTCTTGTTGAGTGTGCTTTTCTTAGATTTCCATGAGCCTGAGAGGTCCTCCTTGCAGTGTCCGGGGTCTGCCCAGGGCAGAGCATTCCCACCTGTGCCCTGTTTGTTAGTGCAGGGTGTGCCATGGGCCAGAGCAGGGCACACCATGGGCCAGGTTCAGGTCCACTGGCGTCTCCTCCTGCCTCCCATGGTGTGTACAGCTGCACACCTTTACTTCTGTCGCAGAGAGTGGGGGTGCAGGCAGTGTAGACGCCACAGGTTTCCCTGGCTGTGGGTGGGCCCGGTGCAGACGGCACAGTGAAAGGTGTGTTCTGGCCCAGGGGCAGAAGTGGGAGGGCTTCTTGCCAGCGAGATGGCCCAGCGGAGCCGTCCCTTCAGGTGCAGCGGGAGCGGGATGAGCTCTACAGCAAGTTCACGGCGGCCATCCTGGAGGTGCAGCAGAAGACAGGCTTCAAGAACCTGCTCCTGGAGCGCAAGCTGCAGGCCCTCAGTGCTGCCATGGAGAAGAAGGAGCTGCAGCTCAATGAGGTGCTGACAGCCTCCAACCTGGATCCTGCCACCCTGACCCTGTTGTCCCACAAGCTGGAGGTAGGTCCCAGATGGGCTCCGGGTGGCAGCTGGACGGTGCCCATGCTCCTGCCCTGGCAGGTGGCCTGCAGGGCCTCTGGCTGGGGGTCACTTCTCTCCTGTTGACACCCCAAGCATGTGCAGCCTGCATCATTCCAGTTAACATCATTAGTCCTGGGGAGGGGCTCCCCACACTCTCTCACTCAGACCTCAGCTCACTGCTACTACTTCTTAGGATGGGTTCAGCTTAGCCTATGAGGCTCTAGGTCTCAACTGCTCTGGAACTTGTGGGCCTGAGCTCTTGGGCATCTGGCAGCCGACTCAGACATAGGCCTGGGGGCAGCTGAGTCTCCTGTACTCGCAGGGAAGCCGCTAAGCTGTGTCCCAGCTGGGCAGTTAGGCAGGGCTGAGCCTCCGTGGTGGGTGCTGGGAGGGCTTCCCGGAGGGAGGGAGTTATGTCTGGGCAGAGGCTAGAGCATCTGTTGACCTGAATCCAGTTATTCATGGCACCCCTCTGTGCTGGGATGGCCCCGGCACCGGGTGCAGCAGTAGTCAAGGCAGGTGAGACCTCTGTGCCCTCAGGCCAGCAGGTCAGCTGAGGCGTCAGGGTCGCTCCTGCCTCGCAGGCGGAGCCCCATAGCACCTGTAGGCCCTCTCTCACCTGGGGATGGGCCTTGTCCCTCTGCTCCATGACCTGATTTTGGGAGTGGGGTTGTCACAAACAGAATTGGTGATGTGAGCTAAGGGGTCTTGGTGCTGCCAGGGGAGTGTGGCTGATGCTCAGCTCCCAGCCAACTGGGCAACCTGCTACTGCCAGGCCGGGACCTGGGAGACAGATCCCGGTGTGCAGCTGCCTGCATGTCTCCACCCAGAGGCCTGTCCCAGAGGCAGATCCCTCCAGGCTGGACGGGGTCTTCATGGAGAAAGAGACCTGGGCATCGGTTTAAGGCCTCCTCACCATCCGGGTGCGGGTGTGTGTTATCCTGAGCAGTAGCATAGGCAGCATTGAAAAAATATTATTTACTTTTTATGTATTTTTATTATATTCATTTTTTGTTAATCCTCACCTGACGATATTTTTCTACTGATTTTTAGAGAGAGTGGAAGGGAGGGGGAGAGACACAGAGAGAGAAACATCCATGTGAGAGAGACACATCGATCGGTTGCCTCCTGCACACACCCCAACCAGGGCCAGGGATCAAACTCACAACCTGGGTATGTGCTCTGACTGGGAACCGAACCCGAGACCATTCGGTGTGCAGGCCAGTGCTCCATCCAACATGAACCCCTTTGGCTCACACCACCCCGAGGCCCAGAGGCTGAGCCTGTCAGGTCACATCTGTAGGTAAAGCATTGCAGCCGCTCCCCGCACCCAGCCTGCCCCTGGGCCTGCAGCTGGCACTTGGTACTGCCAGCTTGGGGGGGGGGGGCGGGCGATTCTGAAGCTGTCAGCTGTGTCCCTGAAGTTTGGGGCTGGGGAGTACTATGGAAGGTTCTGGGGAGGATAGACTGGATCCAAGAGCCCACAGGGATCTGCAGGAAAGGCTGAGCAGGATGGACTTGTCACGACTGGGGAGGGGCTGGGGACGCCAAGGTGAGGTTGTTCCTGTGTCCTGGCTCAGTGGGCCACAGTGCCCGTGGGACCCGTGTCCCCTGGGACCGGCTTGGGGCAGGGGGCCTGGGGCAGGGCAGGCACATAGGAAGGGCCTTGTCTGGGTAGGCAGCACTGGGGTCCTGGGTCTGGGGCTCACCTCTGACTGTGTGCCCCTGTCCCTGTGGAGCACCAGTGATGTGATGAGGGGATAAAAAACAGTCTCACCCACGAGGGTCCCTGCAGCTGCACCAGTGGCCAGGGTGGGTGTGGGTCAGCTCTTGGCTGTCCTGGTTGGAACCCACCAGGCCTGCGCCTCTCACTTCTCAGCACCCATCTCCTTCCAGGGGCAGGTGCTGCTCCCTTTCTTCGACACACAGGAATGGGGCCAGGCCACTATTCCCTGGACATCTGGCGTCACCGTTAGAGCCCCAGATGCCAGACCTATGGCTGCCCAGTCTGTCTTGGCCCAAAGACAGGTCTCAAACTCAGGCCTGCATTTCTCTCCTCAGGACGTTCTGGAATCGAAGAACAGCACCATCAAGGACCTACAGTACGAGCTGGCCCGGGTCTGCAAGGTATGAGGAGCCCCGCCTGCCTTAGTGCACGCCCCCACCCAGGACCCTGCGATTCCTACCTTAGCCTGAGGGTCCAGCTGCCTATGGCTTAGGGCAGCCCCGCCTGCCTGGGTGTTCCTCCAGGGCCAGCCTCTGGGAAAGGAGGGGGCTCGGCTCTTCCAGCAGCTCTTCCCGACCCCCACATCCCCGTCCGTCTGACCCTCACTCTCCCACCCTCCTGGCCTCTGGGGCGATGCGGGGAGCAGGCACAGGTCTACCCTTTCTCCTCTGTGAGTCCAGTGAGCGCTGTACACCATTTCTGTGCCCAAAGCGCGCATTGGCGCTGAGGCCTGTTTGGACCCCCCCCCCCCCCCCCCCCCGGATTGTTGACTTTGCCATGAAACCCAACAGCCTGGGGCCTGCACCACGCGGCCCCGGGTCTGGGGATACCCCAAAGGATTTTTGCTTTTGTCTGTGGTCATGCAGAACAAAAACCTGCCTGGGGACGCCCTGAACATGGGGGCACCCTAACGGGGACTCAGAAGTGCCCAGAGAGTCCTTTTTCTCGCTGCTTCTGTTACATGAAAACCCCCGGGTGTGGAGCTCAAGATGAAGCGCTCAGTGCTGGGCCTTCCTCGACCCTGCAGCCTCACTGCCATCGACCCTCTCTGATGCCCCGCACCTGAAACTTGTACACACAAAATCGGTGGCAACTACTGGCCTGTGCAGCTCTGGGGAGGATTTGCACAAGTTGTATCTGGTGTCAGGAGGCCTGTGCCCCACGAAAGGGCAGAGCCAGGCCCAGCCCCCAGTTCTCTCTGGAGCTCCACTCAGTTCACCTCTAACTCTTGACCCCAGTCCCTGCACTGGGTGTGAGGATGGTGAGGGTACTGTGCCCTCTGCAGTGTTCGTTCTGAGTCAGCCACGCTCCAAGCATTTCTCAGGCATCACCTCTTCAGACCCTACAGCCTCCGAGGACATTCCCCCTTTTAAAGACGCCTGGTTTCCAGTGGGGACAGAACCATGTCCATGGCCCGGGCAGCACTGTTGCCCATACCTGAGCTCTTCTGGGACGTGGGGGTCACCTGTGCTCCCCATCAGTCTTCTTTGTGGTCCCTCCTTCCCGCCCTCCACAGAGCTGGGTGTCCTAAGTGAGGGCTAGCCTTGGCATTGCCCTTGCCCGGGGGGGAGCCCTTGCTGGGCTCCTGGCCCCTCCCAACATGCGCTGTCCCCACAGGCCCACAGCGACCTGCTGCGCACCTACGAGGCGAAGCTCCTGGCCTTCGGGATCCCTCTGGACAACGTGGGCTTCAAGCCCCTGGAGACGGCCGTGGTTGGGCAGACGCTGGGCCAGGGCCCAGCGGGACTTGTGAGCACCCCAACATAGCCCCCACCCAGGACTTCTCCCTGCAGGACACCCCCTTTTACACCCACGGACAGCAGGTGTGTTTTTTTGATTTGTTGGGTCAGCAAATGAAGGCTTTCATGTTTGCTGCGTGTCCTGGTGACGACTGTGGCAGAAGCAGCGCCAGGGCCATGGCCAGTCTGTTTCCCTCCCAGCTGTCCCCCCGCCCCCTACACACGCCTCAGGCTGGGCAGCACCAGCGCGGCTCTGCCCAGTGACGCAGCAGCCTGCAGGTGCCACATGACTTTATTGGTGCCCACGTCACAGTGCCACTAGGAATTGGGGGCCAGAACCTCCCCCAGGAAGTGGGACCTGAGGCCCCATGAGGAACATGGAGCCCTGTGCAGGGCTGGGGGCGGCTCAGGCTACAGTGAGGGCGTTGGTGCTCTCGGGCCAGCTGGTGGTCAGCTCCCTCGGTAGGTGGTGTAGGACCATGGGCTCAGCAGCAGGGGGACGTGGAACTTGTGGGATTCGTTTGTGATGGTGAAAACGACCTGAGAACAGAAGGCACCAGGAGGGAGCCAGGGCCTGACCCAGTGCTCCCAGGGAGAAGCCGGACTGTGGGCCGAGGGCTGCTTCCCAGGGAGCCCCAGACCAGCCAGCGCCTGATGGTGACCTGGAGACCAAGGCTGTTGACAAGGCTGAATCTGCTCTAGATACAGCTCTTGGCTTGAGGGCCCCTGGGCCTGCCGAGCTTCCCAAGGGGTCCACCCTGAAATCGGGTCAGGTGAAGGGGGAGGCAGCAAGATTAGGCCCAGTGAATTGGGCAGGGCTTGTTCAACACCTGTGTCCACAGGGGCTGAGTCACCCTCGACCCTGCCCCCCACAGCCTGACCAGGCCCAGGGCAGGGACACCTTTCTCCTGGGAGTTCAAAGCAGGTGAACCCACTGCCTGCCCCTGCCCTGGGCGAGGGGGCGGGGCTTGCCTCCTGCAGGATCTCGGGGTCATGGTGAATCCCAGGCCTCCACCTCCATGCCAGCCTGCGGCCCTCACCTCCACGTACGGGTAGAAGCTGTCCTGCCCCCTCTTCTTCCAGTAACCCTCGGTGTCGAAGGTCAGCTTGTAGGTGCCCGCCTTCATCTGGCCTGGCAGCAGGAGCCCAGGGCAGCGTCCATCGGGGTCGGTGTAGCTGGGGGGAGAGGGGAGGAGGTGCACCCCTGCCTGGCTGTCTGGGTCTCCACACCTGGCAGCCTCAGACGTCCCTGCAGCCTGACTTGGGAGACTCTGGTGCCTGGGCTCGGGAACAGCTGTTGCACAGCACAGAGAAGCAGGACAGGGGGAAACCTCCCACAATCTACCCCTGGAGCAATCATCACTTCATTTGACCTATATTTTTCCAGATACTGTCTATTTTTAAGTATGCTTATTTATAAACGGAAAAAATGTAAGATGGGTTCTATGATTCCTATTGTTTTGTAACCTGGGTGAGTCATGTCGTCTGCGTGTGTGGCTTTCTGGGTCAGTTCCTGTTCCTGTCTCCGTGTCCCCAGCTGTGCAGGCCGGTGAGCGTGCACTGCGGCCACAGAGAGCATCACTCACCAGCACTTGTGGGCGTTGGGAATGGGTCCTGTGACCCCCCAGGGGACTCCATGTGCTCTTCCAAGACCACAGCTGACCTTCAGATGGGACCTGGGCCCGCAGCCTTTGTGAGGGGGAAGGGACAAGCTCCACACCCTCAGGCCCTGAACTTTAGGGGCCCAGCTCCCACTACCACCTCCAGAAGAGTCTGCTCCCTGCCCACAGGACCACCAAGTGCAGACATGCCAGCCTGGGCCGGGCCTCCCCAGCAGAGCTGACGTGGGGCAGAAGCCAGGGCCACGGAGAGCAGCTGCCAGGTGTGGGAGGGCCATTAGGCTGCAGTGAGAATAGAAGAGGAGAAAGTGCTGTCTGGTGACAGGGGAGCCTTCCCAATTCCTCCTCAGGCCTTACCCAGCCGAGCCTGACCCCTGACCCTGACGGGAGAGGCTCCAGGAGTCACCAGGGGCCGTGGGGGCCTTGGGGGGGGCCCTGTGCTGAGGGAGAAGCTCTGGACTCAGTCCTACCCCAAACCTACCTTCTCCTCAGTTCTGTCCACTGCTGGCCGTGGTCCTCGAGCCTCGACAGACAGAGGCAGAGGCCCTGGGCAGGGAGCCCTGAGGCAGTGTCCAGCACATGTGTGGTCAGCGGGCTGCTGACTGGCTCCATGCCTCTGCCCTGGGCCAGGAGAGAGGGACAGGACAAGCCTTGTGTCCACACCAGCCTCAAGGAGGTAGCAGTTAAACAGCCTGGGGGCGGAGATCCCAAGTGTCCCTGGGGTGGGGATCAGGAGGCTGTGGTGGGGACACACTGAAGTGCAGTCCGTCAACCACGCTGACCTGTCCCCCATCCGTGCCCACTGGGGCCCTCCCCTCCACCCTCCACTGCCGTGTGCTCCCTGTTCTCCCAGCTCAGTGTCCCCGGCTTCCAGGTCGGAGCCCCGGACGAAGGGACGAAGGGACGAAGGGACGAAGGGACGGGAACCGGCCCTACCTCCCGGGAGCCCAGGTGTCGCTGGAGCGCGCGCAGCCGCGGGGCGGACCCCGAGCTCATGCCCCGTAGACGGGACACCGCGCGAGCTGAGGTCACCCGCTCCCGCCTCCACCTGAGGGCACCTCCCTGGCCGCCCGGTCCCGCTGTCACCTCCCTGGACCGGGAGCCGAGTTTCGGACCCAACGGGGCGGGTTGTGGGGGGAGGTCCATCTCGGTGCCACCACTAGGGCCCCAGGGACTTCGCTGGGGAGGGGCCCAGTCGGGCCATTGGGGCGCACAGACCTGCGGGCTGCGGAGGCGACTCCCACCGGAAGTGAAATCCAGGGGACTTGCCGGGATGGGCGGCGACGGAGGGAACGGGCGGGGCGGGGCGGGGCGGGGCGGGGCGGGGCGGGGCGGGGCGGGTGACGGGGGAGGGTGGTTCCTCCGAGATCCGCAGGGGCCGCTAGCTCTGGGCCTGGAGGTGGCTCACGAGCCGGACCCCCACCAGGAGTCCCAGAAATAACGCGGATTTTTTAGCTTCTGGGGCATTCAGTATATTTTTAACATATATATATTTTTACTGATTTCAGAGAGGAAGGGCGAGGGAGAGGGAGATAGAAACATGCATGATGAGAGAGAATCATGGATCTGCTACCTCTGCACTCCCCACACTGGGGACCCAGCCCGCAACCCGGGCCTGTGCCCCCACCGGGAATCGAACCTGGGACCCTTCAGTCCAAGGTCCGACGTTTTATCCACTGGGCAACACCGGTTAGGGCGGGACAGTCAGCATTTTTTTAAAGATATATTTTATTGATTTTTTTTTACAGAGAGGAAGGGAAAGGATAGAGAGTTAGAAACATCGATGAGAGAGAAACATCGATCAGCTGCCTCCTGCACACCCCTCACTGGGGATATGCCTGCAACCAAGGTACATGCCCTTGACCGGAATCGAACCTGGGACCCTTCAGTCCGCAGGCCGATGCTCCATCCACTGAGCCAAACCAGTCAGGGCAACAGTCAGCATTTTGATGGAAGCCTCTCAAAGGTCAGGTAAGGTGTTGAACTCTGTCCCAGCAGGCCCTGTGATGATGCCTCAGTTTCCCCATCTGTGAAAAGGGGGCAGTAATGACTCGGGATTGAGAGGGTTCCACAGGAGGAGACAGATGTGCCTGCGCTCTGGCCTCCTGGGGCCCCTCTGGCCTCTTCTGTCCCCCTCCAGCCCCACTCTGCCCCCCTCCACCCCGGTGCCCCCTCTCTGGCCCCAGTTCCACACACTGACGGGCAGGTGCTGTCGAAAGGAGGAGACTGGGCGGTGGATCTGCAGGTGTGAATCCATCGCTGTGGGCGTGTTGCTCTGGACACAGGAACTGCTGCTTCTTACCAAGGTGCACTTTCTAATTCTTTAGTAGTGAGCATGGATTCTCTGTAGGGTTAGAATCAGGCCCCTCAGGCATGGATGCTGACCCTTGTAGCAAAGGTTGGGAGTGAGCTGTTTACAACTCTTGGGAGGTGATTAGGAAATATCTATTTGAGATGTGAACACACATGACAGTTGGCAGGGCTTATGTTTACAGGAGATAACCCCAAAGACATGCTGCTTACACTGTTTCGGCAAACGCCTGTGGGTACAAGAGACTAGAAAGAACCAGAATGTCCCCACTCTGCACAGATAGTGAGTTCTGTCACACCCCAGTGTGCTCTGCTGCTGGTAAGACGAGGTCTCCACAGGCATCACACTGGGCAGGAATGGAGGCAGGCGTTTGTAGCCTCGAGCTGTAAGTCTCTGTGCGGCCTTCACTACACCACACAGGCCGGCTTGCTCAGTGCCCACAGCCACCTCAGATGCACGAAGGATTTTCCACATTTTACAGAGGAGGAAACAGGCATGGGGAGGTCAGCCATTGGAATATTGTCTCATCTGATGCACAAAAGATGGGGACCACTGACCCTTCTCTGGGACAAGCGGTTGTGCATGGGGGTTACTTACTGTTGCTCTTTAACTTTCCTTTGTACTCTAAAAACAATTTAAGGCTTAACGGTCATATGCAAACCAACAAAACACAAACCTTTTTGGAGTGCCCTGCGACTCCCCTTTCAGAAATCTGGGGCTCTCTGTCCTCGGGGAGAACCTAGTGGCTGGAAGAGCAGGCAGTTCTCACAGTCCCTTCCGGGCCTCTCCACAGCCCACTCCCCAGCCTGATCCACCCAGAGTCAGAGGAGCAGAGGTTTTGGGCGCCGCCCTTTCCCTGGAGTCAGAAACCGTCAGCCTATGCGTGGCCCCTCTAGGACCAGGATCCCCCCTGGGGCATAGTCTGCTCTGGAAACGTCCCTGATGGGAAGGTGACCAGCGCTGAACCCCAGGCGCCTTTTAGCCAAGTTAGAAGAAGGTGCCTCATCTTCAAGACCCTTATGGACTGGAGAGTTGTCATAATAAATATTAAAACGGCCTAAAAAACTTTCAATAAAATCTGAAAACATTTCAAATTATCAGAACATTTGCAGTGTGAGGTATGAGATGTGAAGTCACGGACTCTGTTCAGTGCACAACCTCACCTCCCAGGCCTTCCCCACCATGAGTCCAGCCTAGGCCTGCGCTTCCCGTAGCCCCTGGGTTGACAGGAGCCAGCAACTGGGTGGTCATGCCCATATTCTAGACGCCAAAACTGAGGCTCAGAGAGGGGGAGCAGAGGTCCCTACCCCCAGTCCACCTCCCCCTCCACTCAGCCCAGCTCACAGGTCCTCCCCAGCTCCCGCCTGGTTGCCAAGATGTTGGAGGAGGAGGAGATTTCTGAGAAGCAATCCAAAAATACACACCAGCTTGACCCTCCTTCTTCACTCCCTCTCCAGCTTCAAAGCCTCCTTTTGGGCAGGTAGGAGGGGCTTCTTCCTGGCCAGGCCACCAGGAGCAAAGGAGATCAAGGAGACATAGGGTCCAGGTAGTGGGTTCTGGGACCCCAATCTCACCCAGCAGATTTCCTGGACCTTGGCTCCATCGCCCTGGGCTCCATCACCCTCCCACAGTTCCAAGTCCAGGCAAGCTGTTTCCTGACTCCCTGCCTTTGCACATGCAGTTCCCTACACCTTGAATGCCCTTCCTCATCCTTCAAATCCCATCTCACCTTTAACTCCACTGGAGAACCTTCCCTGAGTCATTTGGGGCTCCCCCTGCACCCTGCGCCCACCCTAGTCACAGCCATTTTGCAGATGATGCTCTCACAGGCGGTGAGATCGTGGCTGCTAGCTTTGCCTTTGTGCCCCAGCCCCTGGCACAGACAGGCGCTCGGTAAATCTGGAAGGAAGGGAGGGAGGGAAGCAAAGAAACACTTCTCATGGGCTTGTAGGGGATCTGGACCATGAGCACCTTGCACAGGGCTGGGCATGGAGCAAAGCCCAAGAATTAGCCCTTAAGGGACCTGAAAACAAGATTGGGTGATTTTCATGATGTCATCGAATGACAATGTTAATTGAGAAAGGAGTCTCGGCCTAGGCCTGCGCACCAAAGGGTTCTGGGTTTGATTCCGGTCAAGGCTACTGTACCTAGGTTCCCTGGCCCCGGCTCTGGTTGGGGCGCATGCAGGAGGCAACCAATCGATGTGTTTCTCTTACATGGATGTTTCTCTCTCTCTCAGTCTCTCTAAAAGATCAATGGAAAAATATCCTCCGGTAAGAATTAACAACAAACACAAACAAAAAACAAGTCTCAGTGAGACTCCGTGGGGGTGAGTCGGAGTGGAGGTTGGCATTGTAACCGGTGAATCAGTGTGCCCAGGCTGCCTGTCACTGCTTGAACCAATCAAGCAGAGACAGGGTTGAATCTCTTAGGAGCACTTCTTCCAATACAGCCAGCAGTATGGGAGAGCATCAAGTCATCCACCCACAAAAATCTGCTGTGCACCCCATAAAGCCAGATGTTGATATAGGGTAGGGCAAGGATTAGTACAGGCATGGGGAAGTAGGCTATGAAGGCTGGGGTGGGACTCCATTGTTTGGGCATCAATGTTGTTAATCTTTTCATGATAATATAAGAAGTAGTGGCTGGTAAAAAGGTTAGTGACTCAGAGTCCTACACCATTGCAGACATCTCAATGATAAGGTCCGTGGTGGCTGCCTGATTGTATTTCCACAGCATCAAAAATGAATCGGCCCTTACAGGATTTTGTAAAGTCCAATATTGCTTCATATTTTTTCAGGTTACTTCTGTGACATTAGGTTATTATTACTGAGTACTTTTTTCTGCTAGTAAATTAGTCGTGAACACATTTTTTTTCCTGAACAAAAGATTCCAGTTAATACTTTGGCATATAAACACAGTGGTTTTGAAACATATTCTTGTAAGTCAAAGGATTTTGCACAATATCTATGCCTGCCTGTTTCAGAATGAAAGATAAAATAATCCTGTAGAAATGTACTAAGAATAAGCATCCCTTATTTTGTGATTTATCAGAATGTAAACATAGAGCAGACTTATACACTGCTTTTATAGGATAAACGCTTTTATTTTGCTTCTAGTACGGTAATGATTATATCGTACACGTGTAGGGAACTATGTACTTATGACACTAGACCTCAAAGGACTCTGACAGTGACAGCCAATTCCTGAGCTAAAATGATCCTCTGCTGCCGCCCTGTGGACATTCAAGGAATAACAGCATCCACTACCAGCTGTCACAGGGAAAACCTATGCTGTATTGGAAGAAATTTTTTTTAAAAGATGATAAAAATATTTAAAAAAAAAGGGGGGGTGGAGCGGGGGAGGCTCTATGATTAAACTTACCAAGGGCTCAGGACGACTCAATGGTAGAGTCTGACTTAAGTCATTTCAAAACCGTGTTTTCCACTGACGACGAAAGTCTGCATGGAGTGTAGACAATTACACATACATGATTTTCTGCAAGTGAAGACGGCACAGGCCACATACAGTGTGCGGGTGACAGTGCAGAGTGTGTGGGGCCCGGCATGGTCCCGGCAGAGCTCGCCCTCTAGAAAGGTCTTCCTTGCCTGCTGTGCTTTTCCGCACAAGAGACCCTGAGACTTGCTCTTCTGCTCAACCCCATCCCACACACTGTCCTCAGAATCCTCTCTGTAAACATAGACCTAGCTACTTCCCTCCTCCACAGACTCCACCACAGACTCCCACTCTCCCTCCACCTAGTCTTTCACCAGAGGTGCGGGCCAACGCTCTAACCAGTGAGCAACACCAGGTACGGATTCTATACACTAATAAAATATAAATTTGTGCCAGGTCAAGGGTCAGAGGTAAAGTGTGGGGCTGGGGCTAGGGCTGGGGTGGGGTTAGGGTTTTAG